TTCAGCAAGTTTAGGCAAGCACAGGGGACTGCAGTTCGATTCCTGGCATCACTTGCCACACCAGCCCCTCCCTCAGGATAGGCTGAACCAGCCCCCCCAAAAAAAACTGCTTTTGGAAAATACATTATAAAGATTGAGTAAGGGGTTCCAGCAGCTCTGGCGGCGGGAGGAACAGCCGTGGTTGAGCTGTGAGCTGCTTAGCTCCGCGAGGCCCCTCTGTGCCTTGGCCTGCAGCTTCGCACGCGCCCCCACACTGCCAAGATGCCCAAGAGGAAGGTCAGCTCAGCTGAAGGGGCGGCGAAGGAGGAGCCCAAGAGGAGATGGGCAAGGTTGTCAGCTAAATCTGTTCCAGCTGAAGTGGAAAAGAAGCCATAAAAGGCCCGGGAAGGGATAAATCTTCGGACAAAATAGTGCAAGCAAAAGGGAAAATGGGAGCCAAGGAAAAACAGGCTGAAGTGGCTGATCAAGAAACCAAGATTAGCCTGCGGAAAATGGAGAAACTGAAAATGAGGAGAGCGCAGCCTCTGATGCAGCAGAAGAGAAAGAAGCCAAGTCTGATTAATCACACACCATGTCTTATCAGTGCTCCCTGTCTCCCTTGTACAATCCAGAGGAATATTTTTATCAACTATTTTGTAAATACAAGTTTTTTAGTAGCTCTAGAAACATTTTTTAAAAGGAGAGAATCCCACCTCATCGCATTTTTTAAATGTAAATGATTTTTTTTAGAGATGAAGTCATTATCTGGTTGTTTGTTTTTTGGTACAACTAGAAATAGTGGGATATTGAATTATGGCAGGCTTTGACTGTCTTGGGTGTCATCTTAACATTCCATAGGTGAGGGTTTTATGTCCTGCAATACAAAGCATACTAAATGGCAATTTGGAATTACAGTCCTGCATTTAATGTTTTGTATACTTTAAATGACTTCTATTCCCATGTTTTTGGTATAATTGTTTCCTGAAGAAAACTACTTCCTAATTGTTGCCCTGTCAGAACCATGTGTACTCTGTAACATCTTTGGTAGTGGTAGTTCCATTTGCCTCATTTTGTTAATGTGCTGTGAAAGATCAAAAATTTGAGTATGCAGGGTATGTTATACAAAATAATGAATTGGTGGGACTTAAGTAACACTTTGTTTTTTGGTACAACTAGAAATAGTGGGATATTGAATTATTAACACTTTGTCAGCATTTGAAGATACTGGTACTTAATCCTCTTACAGAAAATTTGCCTCTAAATTTGAAGCTGGAAAGTCACTGGAATAACCGAAAAACAACACATGGCCTTTTTTTGGTATGTGTGTTAAGAATTGTGTACAAAGTGAATCATGTGTACTGATCCTCAGCACAACCAATAAAATCTCAAATATTGAAAAAAGTTAAAAAATAAAAATAAAGATTGAGTAAGTACAGGAAATCTTATACACATTCAGGGAGGAAAAGATAACAGCAGAAGCCATGGTTGTGGCCATGTGGTTGGAGAGAAATGGATAAACTGGAAAGATTTTCAAGAGGTGTACTGGATTGAGAGGTCGAAAAAGCAGAAGTCCATTGTGTTCATTTGGTGACTTTTGCAATAGCTCTGTGAATGAAATGATAAGGAAGATTGCTCAGACTAGGCTGAGCTGGAAGCAGAAAATGGGAAAAAGGTTGGGTCCGGCCAAGAAAGGGGAAGGCGGTGCCAAGGGGCACACAGTGGTGATGATGAGACCTTGCAGCCTCCTAGCCCTTCCCGCCTGAAAGTTAACTCAGGAACTGGTAACTGCAGTTGTCTAGTCTGCCTCTCGCAGCTGCTGTCATACTTTAAAGGGTCTTGTTATGTAGCTCACACTTGTAGTGATGCTTCTGTCTCAGCCTCCCCAGCTTTGGGATTACAGGTGTGTACCACCACACCTGGGTTCAGTAGCCAGTTCAGCACAGAACTGGCATGGCATGGGTACCAGGGATCAAACATGGGTCCTTATGCTTGCCAGGCAGGTGCTTAGACTGCTGAGCTATCTTCCCAGCCCAAGAGACTGATTTCTTTCTTTCTTTCTTTTCTTTTCTTTCTTTCTTT